TAGGGGTTGAAAAGATCAGTGTGTCAACAATTTTGTCTCTGATTGTAGATTCGGAGAAACAATTCTGCTGAAACTCGTTCTGAAACGTTGCCACAGTTGAATTGAGCTACAGGTATGCCTTGCTTTGTTTGTGGTCTTACTACTTTTGCGCACTTTTCGAAACGCAACGCGGTCTCTATTTCATGGTACGTCCAGGCATTCACGGACCCACTTTGGTCACAAATTCACCTACGAACGATTCAATCGTATAGTCTACTTTAGTTTGGCCTTGCGAAAGGTTATCGATTGAAGATCCGCTATCGACAGCAGTAAATAATAATTGTGTGACTGTCTACCAAACAGCGAAAAACAAACTATAATAATAATAATAATACTGATAATAAATATGATTCATTACCTTATTTAACGCAACTATCAATAACACATTAGTTCCTTTCTTTAAGCTGCATGAACAAACCAGGCTAGAAATTGAAAACATAATTGATGAATTCACGAAAGGATAAACAAAAAAAACTTTAGATTCGTCTCCTGGGTGAAGTATTTTAATTTTTGTAGTTATTCGAATAAGATTCGCGAGTTTTTTCATATTAAATTGTCGTGGTCAGCAGAGACTTTCGAAATCATTTTTGAAACCGCTGTTATTTTCAAATATTTTTAGTTCTCATGTTTAAAAGATTTAGGTGAACCAAGGCACTTTTTTTTCCTTCGCAGTTCCAGTTTCCATCTGGCGTATCAGTAAATCTGTTCAGAATATCATAGTTAATATATTTGGAATATCATAAATATATATCAAAGATTCACAAACATACATCCTGGGCGTTTTGCTGAATTATTAAGCAATTCTCAAAATGTCACAGACTTATTAATTCGACCTCCCGTAGCTTTCACGCTGCAAGATATTTTTAAGACTTTGTACCTCACTGTTTCGAGCGAACGCCTTCAGAGATTGAATGTCGTCGATAGTTCGTCAAACGCTCCTGTTGCTAGCCTAGGCTTTTTTTTCTGTGTCTGTTGTTGTTGTTTTTTTTTTTCCAGATCATTGTTTTAAAAGTATCCAAGATAACACAATCGTCAGACATTGACATGCCTATTAAATGGATATTCACCAGCCTGCCTCTCAAGTCTGATTTGTTAAATTTGTGGATTCATCGAGAATTTTGCTTTGTTTCCTTGATTTTTGTTTTTCGTTGGCTAGTCTTTTTGTTTTTGTCTATGTGTTTTGCTTGTTTGTTTTATTTTGTATTGGTTTGGCTCGTTTTTTTCTTTCCGTTTTTTTATTATTTACTTAGCTATGATTTCATAACTTTTCTTTAAGATGTATTCAGTTAAGCCTGACTTGAATTTTGAGCTCGAGGTAATTCAAGTTTTAGATATCACGATGAGTTTCTTATTTTCACTTCTTGTTTAGTTGTCGGTAACTCTTGAACTGAAACTTGAATGTCATTTCTCCAAGTTCAATTTTGTCATGTTTATAATTGTAACTGAGATGAGTGCAGTTTGTAATCACATGATTTCAAGTGTAATCAGCACGAGAAAATATTTAAAGCTGAATAACTTGCACGAGCCCGTACTAAGGACGAGTACAGTTTGTAGTCTTTGAAGAATTTATGATTTAGTTTTCCAAGGTTCGTTGGCCGACAGGCCCATTCGATTGTGCAAATAAAAACCTGTACAAGTGGGTCGGTAGTCAGTCATAGTGGTTAGAAGAAGAGAAGAGAAGTAAAAGAAATGAACGGTTTATTTTTTGTATAAATTATGGCAACGGTGGGTATCTCAGTAGAAGATGCAGAGAATACAGGTTTAAATTCTTGGTATTGTCTCGCAAACGTTATACGCCCTACCACGCACCTTCCACGCAAATCCAAACCAAAACTCTTTTATAGAAATAAATGTCAGTGAGAACGATATCAGCTTTAAGCCACGAATGATTCCGTTTGGGGCAATGTTTTGATTTCAAAGAGCGTCCAAAAACGACCAGTAATAGCGCGCATTTTGCATTGCTGAAATAACTTAACATTTCTTTTTTTTTTTTTTACCACTTCGCCCCGCATAGATGTACCTTTTCATTACGATAACTTGTTTTACGCACCTCCAATTTACATCATTTCTGTATTTATGAAACTGTAAAATTATTTCATGGTTAGAAGCCGCCGTTAAACTTATAACCTTAAGTGCTATAGAACCAAACGTACTCATCTAGGTTTTTCGATTTTTTGCCTTGAATGTAAAGCCAAGAGGATGAACTCTGCGGAATAATACTTAGAACGGAGAAGAATGATTAACTTAATGTTTTAACGACATGATTTATCAGTGCAATTATCGTATCCTTCTGTTTATATTAAAGGTCATTTTGTGTTTCATTCTCTCTCGGATCTTTGATGTTTCCTCTCCCTGCCGTCTCAGCTTCTTCGATTTAATTTAAGATTACTAGTGCATAGAATAGAAACACATGAAATTTGCGACGTTTTGAGAAAAAGAAAGATTGTTTTTTTCTTTGAGCCACGATAAAGAAAACTCCTTCTCGATGTACAGCCCACGCAGGGTAGCCAAAGGTTAGACCCAACAAAAATGGCACTTACATCATTATCACAACAAACCGATCACAAGTTCGTGGTCGATTCTGGATCGAAATGATCATTTAATCGTGGTTATGTCGCGCCATCCGTTGGATAGCAACGAACGTTTCTTTTTCCCTTCGCTTTTTTTGTAAAACGCTCGGGTCTTTCATGAAAAATCCAAGTCTTCAGTAGGGCTTTGACTAAAATCAATGCGAAGGAGTTTTGAATTCGACTTTTATGAAGATTTGGTAACTATGTACGTCACCAGGGTAAACAAATCATGTGACATCCCATAATGCGCACTCGACAATTACTGAGGTCACTATGAGCTAAATGAACCATGAGAGGTTTTACCATGTCTTACCTAATAGTGTGTTTCTCGTCTTAAACTTAATTAGAAGTTCTAAGTGAGGTAACATAAGATTGCGGGAACATGGCTGCTCAAGAGAGAGGGATAAATATGATGGGAAAGCCGGTTTTCGTCCATCTCAACGGAGATAGTTTTAAGAGAAAGCGTATTGTTGTTAATAACAGAGACATGCGAAGCTTTGAATCTTTCTTAAATACTGTGGCAGCTAGTTTTCGTACACCAGCTCGAGAAATAAGGACTCCAGGTGGAAGACATCGTATCAGAACGCTTGACGATCTACAGAGGGACTGTACTTATGTCGTTAAGGGAAGAGAGCCGTTTAAAAAAATTGGGTAAGATTTTTGTTTGCGATGGCGCGATCAAACTCGTGTTTGCCAAGCAATACTTGATCAAGTGTCATTTGGTTGATCTTTGTTCACAAATGCAAACTCTTTATGTAATAAGAGTCTGCTTTCGTTTTATTTCTCAGATATGATGTAAAAGACTCGAGGCCACACCGTTTACCACCCCTCAAAGGACCTGAAGTAAGATTTGTTGTTCAAAACGCGTCAACATACAGTTAATATCTACTCTAGGTCCAATTTTTTTGTATACTTTGTCGTGCATTGATTTAGGCAATCAAAGGCAAATATTTTGTGCAATGTTTTCGGGCTATTTTTTAATGATCGCATATTCGATCGCAAATCTCTGTTTTAAAAATAACTGTTAATTGTTCAGTTTTTGATAGATAATTTTATAGCTTCTCTATTAAACATGGAGACGGGAGAGCGTAATTAGGCCGAGTGAGTTCAATAACAAATTTGGTATCGAAGTGGGGTTACAATGCATGAATAATTAAACACGTAAATGTTTAAATAAATATTTAATGTAATTGCTAAGGAGTTATATTCAAATAAAGACGAAAAAAACGTCAATCTTTTAATCGTTTAAGGATTAACGACCAGGTAAGAAGAAATATGATTAAACATATCGGGTGGTCGCAGTTTCCGCAGCATTTATTTGAAATTATTCGAGGAGTTGTCAGTGTACACGTCCCTCATTGTTTGCGGATCCGATTGTCATTTCGTGATTGCATTTCGTTATCAGGTCAATTTCCTCCAGCTAAATCATCGCAAGTTTGGAAACGTACCGGGCAGAGCCAGGGTGAGCGGTCTACGGAAAAAGGAAGAAATTAAAACAATCATGTAAGTAGCGATCGGTTAAAATATTCACCATAAATTGTAGTTACCATCACTAAGTAACTAAAATATATATTATTATTATTATTACGCAAAGTTAAAAATACAAACGTGGATGCTTTATTGAACATGGTGACTGCACTTTAATAATCTAGCTCCTTGGAATAACCACAAAAAAGTAAACCAAATCGAACTTAGAATGATTTGAAACTCAACCTTCAAGAGGTGATGCAGTTGACTGTTTACATCCATGATGAAGGTGTACAACTTAGTGCCACAGTATTGGTTAAATTTTTTTTTTTTTTTCAAGGGCTGCCCTCTTTTAAGCACAATCCCCAAATCAGTTGCAAAAGGCTCATGAAACTTCTTGATTGCATAGCAGTGTTGTTTCATTTTAAAGTGGCTGACTGGGACCCATGACTAGCTTCCATCTAACTCTTGGACTCAGGTTATGAAGGGGATCAGTGCACTTAAATGCACTGTGGCAGTTGTACTGGGTTTGATTATAACATAGCTCCTGCAGAGCCTGTTGAGATGACTTGTACAAATTAGTGTACCTGAGTAAATATCAGGGCAATAATGCAGTTGGCATCTTACTGAAGGCCGTGTGTCTGTTGATTATTCCAAAGTGTTCCATTCCATATTGTGCCAACTGAACAGGTGCATCCTAACTCATAAATAAAGAGCAATTAAAATTAGGTACTTTCACCCTGTCACGTTAACCTTGACTAAAGTTGTCAAAAAAATTTGCCTTCAATGATAGAAATCTTATGAAAAAACTCACTCTCTGTAATAGATAGATTTTGCTACATATGATCTACAATTGTACAATAAAATACAATAAAGACGCATGATTGTCATGAGCAAAATTAACGAAATTAACTATAATTACTAATTTGTTGTATGGTTGTATAATACTGTTCGTGTTCATGTCCTTATGATTAAGGGTGGTATTATGTTTGATGATTACAGTGTTTTTTGTAATGGAGTTGTTGCTAAACCAAAAAGAGTCCAGTTGCGAACAGACTTTAAAATGTTTCAGGTGAGGTGAATTATCTACCAAGTCATACAGTGTATAAAATACGATGTACCGGTAACCCTTCCGTTCTCAAGATCAATAAATTGCTAATTTTTCTCACTTTTTGCCACACAGTGATTTTGATGTTTGTTTGGAGAATTTGGTATTAGCTCAGCAAGTAATCCCCTTAATGCTAGTTTTCTTTACTAATGTTGCTTGTCTGCTTGATATTGTGTTATTATTGTCTAATGGTCAATCATGGGAGTTGGAGGTTTAAAATTATGCGAATTTCAATGTAATCAGCAGATAAAGGTCAATTGGTAAATAAGATCAAATCACTATTTTGGAGGGATCAAGTTAATAGGAGGGGGTGGGAATTTAGCTTAATTAAAAAACTATCTGGTTTGGATTAACATAATGCAAGTGGATAATTCAGATAACTAGTTCTTCCACAACAGTTTGCGCCAAGAATAAAAAAAATGAATCCCAAGACTTTCCATGTCTATGGAATGGAAAGCCTGTAAATAATATATAGTAGAGTGAAGGTATACTAGAGCATCTTTCTCTAGGTTAACTGAATTGTTTTCAAAATGGTGGAAGCATGAAAAGATTTTGAAGTTTAAGCACATTTGAAGACAACAAGTAATGAATCTTCCATCTCTAATTGGCAGAGTAAAAAAGTGTAATTTTCTGGAGCATAATTCTTTCAACCCTTTATGCCCCAACTCAGAATGCATATTCTCCATGCTTTTATAATAAATAGCTTCTTTGGATGGTGGTTTATCCTTCAGTGACCTTCATGTGTGATTCAGGGGTGATATTGTTAAGAGAAATTAAATGCTAGCCACTCTCGTGGTTTAAAGGATCAAAGTTAGCGTACCCGCATGTACGTTTATTGGAATAAGCTAATCATGTTTTTTTTTCCCTCCCTAAATGATTTAGGTTTTAGAGTCAGTGAATGATAAAGTGAGCTCAGTCAGCAAGAATGGTGCTGTTTATGAGTAAGTAATGATTGCCTTTTAAATTCCTCAATGAAGTATCAACAATCAGTGTCAAAGTTAGTCAGTACCTTGTGTTTTAACAGTTCTTTTGTAACTGATGGTCAGAATAAAACAGATACATGTATTTTCATTACTCTATGCTATAAATCATTGATAAGATCCCCCTTCCCTATTCAGTGTTGCCTGTTTGTAGCTAAAAGATGATGGAATTGTGATACAACATTATCTTTTGGAGAAAGTGGCAAATATATGATCAGCATGGACAAAAGAGATACACTAATGAAGTAAGGGATTGTAAAGGCCAATGAAGAGGCAAAAGGAAAAATTCCGATTGCTTAATCTCTTTGACACTTCCAAATACACCCTTAAGGAACCAGAATTTTATTAAGTTTTGTCCTGTACAGGGCTGTATGGAACAATTTTTTAAAGGATTACACGGTCTTTTGTTGATTTAACTACTGGAGAAACACTGCCACATTCAATTATTCTAGGCAAGTATGATGGAGACAACTTTTGATCAGCCCTGTAGATATGAACCTCAATTGAGAGTCAGCCAAACTTGATTGAGGTGTGAAGTGAAAAATAGCAACTATTTCATCATTTAGGAACATCACTAGATAATCTTTGAGCTGTTGTTTTGTTTGTCTTTCAGTCTTTTTACCATAGATGGTCAAAAGATATCAGAACCATCACAGCTGAATGATTGTGGACAATATGTTGCTGTTGGGAGAGAACGATTGTAAGTTCAGTCCAACCTCTTCTTTATTGATGTTTCCTTTGATAAGTATCCATGGTTTTACGTTTAGAATATATTTTGGTGTGAATAAGAAAAAAGCTGTGTTAAGGAACAGACTGATGTGCATGCACTAACAAATTTTGAAGAGTGATTGTTGTAATTTTTGTTCTGGATTCCAAGTGTTTTAAATTGTTACTGTACAGTACTGTAGAAAGTAGAGTGATACATTTTGGAAGAAAGTGGGTCTGAAAGTCACTTACATAATTATATACTCATTGACTGAGTGCGAGGGCCAGATGGGAATTAAAATAGTTGGCTAGAGGTCATGGCACGTGGATCGGGTGCAGCGAGGCCCTTGCATCATTTCCAGTCAAGCAATATCAAACTGTCTGGTCCTACCCATGCCAGCTTTCTGTTATCGTGGCCAGACAGGTCATATGATAAATATCAATTACTTGTATGGTGTAATTGAGTCTATATACTTTTTTGTGCTCATCAATTTGATTATTCATTGTTGATGTCAGTCCAGTAAACTTGGGCCATCCAAATGTCTGGGACGGGTAACTTTTCCAATCAAAAGTGAGTTGAAAATAAAGTTTCTTGCCCTGAATGTTCTTTGGATTTTGATTTCAGCTTTGATAGAAGTGTTACCTACAGTGACCAAGGAGTAGCAACCCAGCTAACTCCAAGAAGGTGTGATTATGTTTTGTTTTTTCACTTCCTTTTTATAGCCACGATTAGTATTAGAACTGGGCAAAATAGTTAAGAAAAAAACTGTATCCTTTAAGATTTCTATGATAGTGGTAGTTAGGTTACACACCTATAAAGATATGTATTCCAAGGATAACAATTACATTTGTGTTGAGGAAAGATAAAAAAAAAAATTGGTTATTTGTCCATGAATAAATTCATCTGAGTACAGTCTGTGGTTGATGAGATTCATGTGGAAACATTCTGGGAAAAAAATCATGATTCAAGACCATTTTTGTACAATACTTACTCATAAATCAGTTTTTTGCACTTGGAAATTATTTCTCTTCCTTTAACATAAAAGTGTTTTGACATACATATTGACTGCAATAGTAAATTATGTCAAAAAAAACAAAAACATAGGCAATTTTTTGGTCAGAAGTTCTTTTCAGACTAGTCACCAACCAGGCACTTTTAAATGC